ATGGTAACGTTTTCTCTGAGAAAATAACGATTCACGATCGCTGGATATTAATTAGCTGTTAAAAAACAAGCGCAGTCGAATCAACACCTGTGTTAATTAAAAAAAGTGAGCGATCTACGTACCTATCGCTCGACGCGATATTATCGAAACGATTCCGTAATACGGATACAATTACCGCTGAAATTTTCGATCGGTGATGTAATACTCTATGCAACAAATCGAGTTTATGCGCAAACGTTCACGACGAAATCTTATCTTCACTGACGAATTATTTTTGAGAAGACTCGCAAATACTGCCGTAAAATCGTCCGACTATGAGATAAAAGAAGTAAAGCGAAGCAGAGCGAAACTCGATAATGCGAATTTCGTCGCGCTTGTTCTATTTAAAGACAGTCTACTTAAAAACATTACAATTCGTAGAAAAATTTCGAACTAGATAAATAATTGGTACATTAATCAATCAATTAATTAATAATGTATCATCTATTAAAATTTAAATTATGTATTATAAATATAAATGTTTTATAATATAACAGATATTGTACTATGTATAGAGTAGAATTGTCGCATTATCTTTAACAATTAAATTAAAAACGTTAGTATAATAATATAAAATATCATATATACTAGAGATTATTAAGCACGTATTTAAATAAATTTTATTCTTTGAAAAAATATTTATTTTAAATATTATACATATTTTGATAATGTCTGTGATATTCCATATTTGATAAGAAAATGTTCAATAGTAATCGTTTCAAATAACGATTCTTAAGAATCGTTAAAATAACGTTTTCGATCTTGTTTCTTCGCATAAAGTACAATATTTTTTTAGGATCTGTTGCTATTAATTTTTCCTTAAAAAAATCCATTTCTGTTACTTGCAATTATATAATTAGTATTGTCCTTTTTATTTTTATCATTTATTATTTTCTTATCATACATATAGTTAGTTATCGCTTTGTATCTAGAGGACGTTAACACTGAAGATCAAATTTATTGTCACATTCTTGTGACATACACGATATTTATTATTCTTTAAATAAGAAATTAAATTTCAAGAGTAATATGTATATGTGTATTAATTTATATACTTTACGCTAAATATTTCATGTTCTATTTTCACTATGTCATCATGTTTAATTTATATTTAATTAGCAAAGTTCCTGAACACAGTGTCATATACATAGGACCAAGCAGCAACAGTATAGGACTCTAAACTTGTAAAATAATAAATTGAAAAATAAAAAATTTAATATATAATTTTTAAGCATTCTGCACTTTCCACTTCGATTCAAAATTTTTTGACCGAACATAAGTGTAAAAACCTAAATGTAGAACAATTTCGCAAAAGATTAAGTTATATCCATAATTTTAGTTTATATATATATATGTGTGTGTGTGTGCGTGTGTGTGTGTCCCGTTTCTTTATTTTAAATTGATTGATTTGCTTATAATAAATTATTATTATAAACAAATTCCAACTGGATAGATATCAGAAATTAACACAAATAAGTTGTGAACATTATGTACGTGTGTATACGTAAGTAAATGTATAAATGAGTGGAAATAAAATAAACTAAAAATATGTCTCGATAAAGTATATATATAAAATAAATATATTATTTCTTTATCTTACATTACATTTAAAAAATCAGAAAATACTTTAAATTTCTTTTCCATATATCATATAAATACGGATTTATAGAATACGATTATCTTTTTAAGTGAAACGAGATATTACGATTGTAGCAAAGTTTATCTGCAATAAGTCTATAAATATCCGAAAAATTTTAATACATTTAAATTATTTTCTCAATCAGTCTAATAGCATCGATATCTTAATAGCGAATAACGTATCACGTATTTATTTATTCGTTGACTTCATTCGATCGTTTTGATGTCATCTTCGTCGAATATTAATTAATCGTTAAACTATAATGATTCGTTGCAGACTGCAAAGCGAGAGGCAGTATTTTTTTCTTCTTTAAATAAATATTAATTTAAAATATTCTGCTGCTTCTCTATTTTACTAGTGTATTAGTACATATATTAATTTTCACACAATCGTTGTATGATTATATCGATATAATACAATTATAATAGAAGTTAAAAACAATAAAGTACAACTTAGTGGCAACGAAATAGTCGGTATGTATAGTTTTTAACGGATGTAGCAAACAATTTTTGTATTAAGAAATTATTTTCTGTATTATTAGCTGTATGGAAAATAGATGTATGACACAATTCAGTATATCAGGACATTTAAATATTTTATGTTTTATTTTATTCTACACATTTAACGCCAACTATTATTATTAATGCAAATAATTTTTTTGCATATTGCATCTAATTTTTGTGTCTGTAAATGATATCGAATTTCATTTGAATAGTCATTTATATTTAGTCGCGCTTGAAAAGAGTTCAGAAAAGAGATCCGAGAGCATTTGAAAAGGGTTTAACTCTCGATTTTGAATTGATTGATGAAGTCAAGCTAATTACATTGTCGGTGAGAATCGATTTAATTATTCGCGTATTAATGTTATTGCTACATCATCAATATCATATCATTAATCATATCTATAGCAGTGACAAATTTGGGGAAGACATTCTATTTCGTATAGGTATACATTATACTTACAAAAAATGTGAAGATATTATAAAAAAATGAAAGATATATCTTTGTTCAATTTTTGTTACATAAAATTACTTTAAGGAGGGCTTAAAAATTCTATCTGTTGTTAACTCACGGTAGGAAAAATTAATAACCGTATGTATTAAATTTATTTTCTTCTATTTTTCAATCTAATTATGGCAATAAAAATTATGGCAATTTTCTTTTTACTAATTTAACATCGTCAAATATTACACTAGTCATAATTAATCGGCACCAGTCCGCCGTTTCAAAAGAATGCCTGATAACGTTAGGATTGGCACGTAGATCCTCAAATTATCATTTCCATAGGCTGATGAGCGACAGCCTCGCGACTGTGTGTTACGTAACAAAAGTGGAGCGTACGTACGTTTCGTATTGCTCCGCGAGCGCGCGATTGTTCCTTCAAATTTGCACATGAAAAGACGAATGACTGAGTGAGAAAATTTATTTTCAGAAAAGACGAGTATGACGGTCGTTAATAATTCGAAATATTTCATGGAGAAACCAAAGATGCGATTATATGTATATCGATCGATAAATCTATCTTGATCTCATGCAATCAATTCTCGTACTTTCCAAACAAAACATAAAAATTTTAAAAATGCATGAAAAATGATGCTTGAAAAATTAAAAGAATGTCTCGTTATTCATAGCTGTTTAGTGTTTATTCATCTGCTTTGGTAAATTGATTTCCAATTCATTTAGTGCTATTCGCTTCGATATTTGATCCCTAAATCGATCTCGACAACGGATCATCGAAACTGATCGAAGCAATCCATCTGGCTTACCTGCAGAAATCCGATCGAGTCGCGGCATCAATCTTCGCGCTGCGGCAGATGCCCCGTTTCCGGCGAACCTCCGAATGACTCGACGATCCGATGATCGGCGGGATACCTCATGAAAGCGCCGATCACGACCGGCGATAAGGCGAAAAATTCGCGGCAAACGACTTGACGGAATGAACAGACGAAGGAGGTTCAAGAACAAGTGACGTGGACGTCTCACGGCGTCGACTCATATACTCTACCCGCGCCAATCTGACGTCACGGGCGCGTTTCTTATCAGCCAGGAGGTCCAACACCTGTAAAGCCCACACCTGTTGGCGGTGAGCTTAAGCGCCATCGGAAACACGCCCAGCTTGTACGACGACGACGACGACGACGACGACGACGACGGCAACGACGACGGCGACGACGATGATGATGATGACGGAAGTGGAGCACTACCCGCAAATCATCAAAATGCATCTGATATTCGATGTCCATATTAAGTAACATTTCTCATTATTTTAAGTATTTAATTTTAGGTATCAAATATTTTAATAATATTAATTCTTTAATACTTTCCTTAAAATGTTTATAAATCATCTAACCATTCTCTTAATAATTCTTTTTGCAATTATTTTCTGAGCTTTCGATTATTCGAAATATGTGCATGGAATATATATATAAGATCGGAAGAGCA